ACTCCACATCAGAATTGTGTCCTGAAGGCCGCGGAGTTTCGAAGGATACGGTTGAATGAAAACGCTTATTTGGGCTTCTCCATGTACGTACTGACGGTGATGTTCAAACATCCGCTTCTCACAACCATTTACGTTGCAAGTAGCATTGGCATTGAGGCATATATCCTCAACATATTGGCCAAGCGCACAGTCGGGTTCAAACATTGCGTCATCACCGTGCTCGTTATAGTATTCCAAGGCAAGCAGATCCGGACCTGAGCAAGGAATTGACGATGTAGTGCAGACAAGACTAAAGAGAACGACAATATTCTGATGTGCATATGGGTCAAAAACGCCGGCTGCTCCAGCAATATAGGCTTCCCATTGACGTTTCTGAGTTTGATAATTGTGCAGGGCTCTGTCATACTCGGCGTCATGAGCCGCATGCAAAACCTCCTTTACTTTCGGGGAAGCGTCTTGAGGTGATTCGTGGACCATTTCAGGAGTTACAAGAACGAACTTTTGTGACCTAGTTTTCTCATCTAATGATGGGTCAAAGTCGAGGTTCTGGTCTCGTAGGCGTTTCAAGTAGGCTAGCCTCCGTTCCATTTCTCTTGCGCGTTTAAGCAGGTAAGGGGGCTCGAATTTGACGAACGGAGAGGCAGAGAGAATCTTTGCCTCACTATCATGCACGAAGTCCTGGTAGTACGTCGGCATGGGAACGTCATCAGGCACTTCTGTAACCTCACTGGCAACAGTGGACTTTTCTGCGATAGATCCATCATTCTTCTCATTCGAATCCTGCTGTTGGCTTGATGGAGGGGAACCTGATTTCTCTCCACACTTATTCGCTGTAGCTAAGACGCTTGGGCGTGCCGCATCAATCGCCCCCCTGTCGGCTTCGGTCTCGGATGACGCCGGCATCTGAGCAAACTCATCTCTCATTAGGCAAGTCTCCAACCTAAGGTTGTAAACGACGTAGGTCATGAATTCGGTAATCCGTTTCACCTTCGAGAGCACTTCACTATCACCACCACGAAGAACAATTGTACACCCGAGCTCTTTGCGGCAGCCGGACAAATACATGTATGTCTTCTTGCGTCCGTTGTAGACATATGTCTTGACATCGAAACTACCGCACTCGCTAGTCACAGGAGTGGTAACAAGTTTATCCATGGATGTGATTATCCTAGTCTGGGTGCATCGTGATACAGCTTCAAGAACAGAAGACTTGACATTATATGCCGTTGCAATTTTGGCTTTGTCCAGCAGCTCTAGAGCTAGCCCAGAGACATTCTTCTCGACCAGGAGCAGATTAGGTCGTAAAGCAGCTATTCTGCTTACTAAATTCTCGAGGAACTCACGCTCCTGGCGAATGACAGGCTCTAAGCTCATAAAATGTTGCTGATGACGAGCATATTCGAGTGGGAAAGCAATTATCAGTATCTTCGGCTGCGGGATGCATCTAGACATGCTTTTGAGGGCAAGGTTTTTTGTGAAAACTAAGCCAGATACATAGGAAGTATCCCCAGGTCGACCGCCCAAGATCTTTTTGAGTTTCACGTAATGACGAATATCCATATCGTCACCACCCTGAACGTCTGGATCAACCTCATCCGCTGCTTTCAGGAGTATGGGTAGCAGCGCAGTCTCCCAGCTCTGGACATGAGGTATCGAAGCATCTTTCAGAAGTTGACGGAGGAGCTTGCGAACATGTTGTAGGCTAGCCATATTCAATTCTACCGGCGGAGCACCAGCTCCTCTCATAGACGAGCTTCGCGTCATCTTGAATCCGCTAGAATTTACCCCAGTAGGGAATACGTGAGCAGCAGTTGGAGAGTCTTGTTGGTTGAAAACACTGTCTTTGGATGCCCTGGGCGAGGGCCGTTGGTGAACACTGCTCGCAACGCTAAGATTACGCCGGCGAGGACGAGGGAGGTTCACTGCTCTCGAGCTGCTGATGCTACCCTCATCTGGTTCGCGGCCGACATGGCTGTAGTTTGCAAAGCTCCTGTCCCCAAATGCAGACCTGCCTTTTTTCATGGCAGCGAGAAATCCTCCAAACGTTGTTCTTTCATTGTCACCACCGCTTTTAGACAATGACCCTTCTGATACGGCTGATAGCAGGCTTGGCTGCTCGTCGCCACTCGAAGCATCATCAGAGAGGTACTGTGCCAGATCTGGATCGATGATGTTGTCCTTGTGGAACGCAGGTAGTCGTGATTCAAGAGCAGTGTCCTCTACATGCCGCCTCTGGAAGGGGGCTCGATCATCATGATAAGGCTTGAAGTTTCGAATAAATTGCTGACGAGAGTGGTGGCGCTTATGGCCCATTGAATGAGTCCTCCCACTAAGCGATGACTTGAGCGATCTTGAGGATGTTGGCCTTGCTAATGGCCGATCTGGGCTGATCTCTAGGACAGCCGACCGGCGATTATGGCCTTCACCAGCACGTCTTGTTGCCGGGATGGCCATTGTTGGTGTTTTCATAACATGATCTATCGATTGCGAGACTATAGAGGATGTGTCATCGTCGTCGGCAGAGGGACGCGGGTAACCTCCCAAACCCAGATCGGAGACTCGAGGATTGACCACAACTGGGTTCTGTTCGCTATCTGAGAACTCTGAAGAATCATCATCATGTCCATTAATCATAGCCTCACACGGCTTGCAGACACGTATAGTGCCCGGTTGACCGAATCTGTCTCCAGGGATTAGAAGCGTGCATTTTGAGTCGAAAATTTGGCCGCAGGTCCGACAGTGATGTTTGCGTCGAAAAGTAGAGAAAGGTTCGCCGCAATGGAAGCAGTCTTTTGCATTCTCATCTCTCATCCAAAAATCTTTACTGAGCAGTTTACTCCGGAGTTGGGACATAACACCATCACCAGTCGCATGAGAACGCCAGCTACGGCCATCCTGACTGGGTCCGTAGTCAACCGTTGTGCCCAGCGGAGTAACAGCAGCAGAGCCATCGATATATCGCTTGGGGAGGCTTGAGAAGCCACATATCCCGGTAAGCGGCTCGAGCTTGGAGGAACGAGTCTTTCCTTGGGTTTATTCTTGACAAGTGCCTTTGAGGATTCTTTCGGCGGGCCTTCCCTCTCTACCACTGGCATATGTGTCGCAGCAGTAGATGGAGGCTGATTATCGGGAAACGAGTTGTCAGCATTACCGGGGAATTGAGAGGCATTACTCGCTGCAGAAACTGGAGCAGCAACAGATTTATCTGGGTTGAACGAAGCCCCCGAATTCGACCTGATTCTCTCCGTCCCATCATGTACTCCTTCGACTGAATGCCTCGCTTTTCGCACCGGACCAGGCATTGATGTATCTAATTCATGAGTGACTTGGCTATCTGATCTCTTAAAACTATCCGGGACCTGACTGTTCATTGTAGATGACCTGCTAACATCTGAAGTGCCCGAGCCTTCAAACGAGAAATGCTGGGCCTTCGCCTGCAAGACCGGGGAATATGATATTCGTTGGCTCCACCCTGAAGAGCTTATAGACGCAGTGAGAGGGCCATCTTCTTTGTCTGTGCTAACTGAATCGATCGATTGAAAGCTGTGAGAGGAGAGATTCACGGAGTTGTTGCTCGAGTTATGAGGTTCCTTGATAGCGTTGACATGAAGCTCAGTAACTGTCGGGTCTACAGCCACTGAATTGGTCGTGCTTTTGGGCAACGGCACAACAGGAGACTTCATCGCAGGCGAGGGTGAGACAGAGGCCTTGGAGGATATACTCGCAGTTTTCGACGAAAGCCTGGAGCCTTTTCCAGCCAGTAGGGAAGGAAAGCCATCTTGCGTAGATTGGTGAGTTACGGATGTTGGTGAGTGTAATTTTGAGCCCTGAGACGAACCCGGTTGGCACTGCTGAGAATCCGGTATGGAAGCTGTCGAGCCATGAGCAGATTTCGAGACGGAGCGCTCAGACGGAGGACTTCTTATTCCATGGTCCTCAGTGGAGGATCTGTCTAGCGATCTTCCCACGCCGCTTACAATGTCCCTGACCCCGCCCACGGAAGTTCGAAACCGACTATATAACCCACTCAAGCCTCCTTGTAGCTCGCCTGAGAAGCTTTTTTCTTCAGTCGCGGAAGTGGGAGCGGGTGGATTGGTAAAGTCGTTAAATGTGGTAAGAGAATCGGACTGGTAAGCTGCTGTATGAATTTGGTCTAGTGCAGCGTTTAGGCCCTTCCGTTCGGCGTGGGTTGATAAAGATGTCCGAGAGCCTCGTCGTCCTAGCGGAAGAAAGATAGACGATGCGGATGGACTTGACGTCCCTTGGGACTGCTGTGAAGCCATCAAGGCTTTGCCCGTATCTAGACGAATGAGAAATACGGGGCTTCGAAAGGCTAGATGTTGTAGGCAAATCACTCCTGGCTCACTAGAAGGTAAATAATCGCAAACGTCCGTCGCATCTACCTGTGGAAAAGCCTCGATCGCCTGTGAAGGGAACTAATTGGAGACTGTGTTGAGCGTATCCATGCATAGGAAGATTGGCTCCGCATCGTTTGGGATATACCGCAAACTTCAATCAGTTATAGTTCAAACGGATATATGAATATTTGCACGGACGCGTTTGAGGGTGAGATACAGATTGACCGATGCTTTTCTTTTCCATGCACAAGGCCCGCCAAAATGCCCGTGACATGCTGCCCAATGACGTGGTGGTGGTGGTGGTGGCGGAGCAGGGAGCTGTGGCTGGTGTGGTCCCTGGGCGGTGAGGCGCGTCTAAAACCGCGTCAAGTCCGAATGGAGGAAAGAACAAAAGACTGCTAGTATCCATGAGGTAACAGCGCCTTATATGTCGATTCACCCTTATGCTTTAAGAATGAATGGCACTTGGGATGGACGATGCAGTTCCCTGAACTATGATGTATATTATGGCCACTCTATCTAATCAACCTGTCTAAAAGAAAAGTCCCTCCCGCAATTTGACTGACAGTCATGCGTTATACCGGACTATTGTATACCAGACTATGACGCTTTCTATTCTGACGCGATTTCTGCTTTTACACAATGACTTCAATGAATGGGTGGGTTACGCCACTGGTTGAAGACCTTCTTTCCCGTTACATCAAGGGCCAGATGGACAGCTCGGAATTCGTGGACGATGGCAGTAATCTTCGTTTTGCCCGTCGCTCTCCACAGTGCACTATAGTTCTCAATGTAAGCTTCCAGTCATTGAAGGTATATTATATTCTAACCGCTTCATAATTGTTTTTAGTGGGAAGAAAGCGAGGGAAGAAATGTGGCAACATTAACCGACTTCAAAACTCAGATCGAAGCAGTGCTAGCAAAAGAATCTTTGGAGGCACTCAGAAAGGAGACAGGCGAACGTCCATTAAACAGAGACGTGACTCTAAATCATTTCGCCCAGCTACTTGACTATGAGATAGTGCTCGAATATGCCATATCTGCTCCGAAAATTCATTTATATGTTAGGAATCTTAGTATTGCGTGGCACAAGGGCAAGTACAAAGGCGCGCCACAAGGCAAATTAATTAAGAAGAGTGCAAAGATACGAGGCTTGATGAGGAAGGTTTTCGAAACCATCAAGTCTTGGGAGAGTCACCGAGCTGCGACTTCGCCAAAGGCGTATTCCTTGGATGACTTTCCAAAATCTCAAACTCACGTCTCTGAAAAGCATGCCTCGCAACAGTTCCTACAGTCCCAGGCCCAGACATCCTTCGTGGATTCGGGAGTACCGACCATGGTGCCCCCAATTCAAACTAAGCGCAGCTCGGCAATTTCGAATGCGCTACTTGGATACTTGGAATCTCATGCCAAGCCGGCCGACAGTAGTTTGCCAGATAATAGAGAGCATGAAACGGTTGCCATTCCAGCCAACGACGAATATCCCGACAGGACTGAGGTACGGGAAAATATCCCACAAGCTGCTAAAAGCTGCAATGATCTTTCTCATGTTGAAGGAGCTCAAGGGTCTCCGTTAGACTCTCGTTCTGAACTGATACGTCTTGCTCAGCATAATAGTCACACAGCTTCCCAGGAGCGATACGATGCAGGTCATAAGTTGCCAACCACGAAAATCGATGGGGGCACGATAAGTAAGATAGATGTACAACATGGACAGGATCATGAAAATCTCACTTCACCACGGTCATCACCAAAGCAAAAGCTACCTGAAATGAAGCACCCATCTGAGAATTCAAGCTCTAGCCACACAGACCCCTGGTACGGTATGACTGATATTAGAACTAGGGACATCATGATACCCAGAAATCAAGTTACATTACTTGAGCAGCACACTCGTCAATGGGTGCCACCCGATCATGGCGACTCCATCAAAGGCCATGTACCACCTGAAATTTTAGCCCAGTGGAATCAAATTGCGCTGCAGAGGAGGCATTTAAGTGAACGAGAAGGACTAGGGGGCTTCGAGTCCGAGCGGGCTGAGTCTCATGAAGTTTCACCAGATATCAACTGCCCTACAGCTCAAACGAATGCAGAGTCCGATGATGAACCGGTAACATCGGAATGGTCTGAGAGTTCTCCTGAACGTGTTTCCCGTCCTCGACTACTACCGTCAGACAGTAGCCCTGTGACGAGGGCGATAAAGATGCGTACCGGCGTACGTATTACAAGGCCGAGCAGCGCACGAGAAGAGAAGCAACCAACGGAAGTCAGTTCGACGCCAGTGTGCGAAAACCAGCGAGACAGCCGAGCTATTTCCGCAGTCCAAGAGGGCAATGATCTACACATGAAGAATTCGCTGTTTGAAAACAGTGTGAACGAGGAGCATATCTCTAAACCTGTGCATAACAATACCAGCGCTGCTGGACACAAAATCCAAGAGGAATCTGATGCGGAAAGTGAAGATTCAGTCATGGATACGTCCGTTCCTTGTCCACTTGGTGGGTCACAACAATCGAACTCTACCAACCAGTCGGAGCAAGGCATTGTCAGTTCCGGATCTTCACTTCCCGCACGAGGGCATGTTCAAGTTTTGGACACGCCTTTAGCTAATCTCAGACACCTACGTTCTACGAGGCTGGACAAGGATAAGGCCGGTCTGGAATCGCACCACATAGAACAGTCATCATCCCAGGTGGCCAAATCGTCGTCTCAATCACGCATCCTCAACACATACACGACCAACGGCAATGATACAGAAGGCACCCAGACTACGAATGTTTCAAGGATCGATGAAGCTGGTGAGACCAATGACAATGGCGTTCTCGGGACACAGATGAATACTAGTGACTGGTCGATGCCAGATGCAACTCCTAACTCCCACACTGCCCTTGTCTTCGACTCTTCCGCACCTGAAGAGCATGACTCAAATGCCCCTATACCTATGTCTACACTCGAATCTCTGGGTTCCTCTAAGCCATTTTCATCCCACGACGAAGTGCTCCCCTCAATGGAGTTCGAGGATAAAGGACCTGAGTTAGTGCCAAGTCAGGGTTTGCCATGTGACACACATGGGCATAGTAAAATATCATCTTTAAAGCGCCCTGCATCCAATATTGAGGTTGAAAAGGCACCTTATTCAAAAAGACATAAATTCACGCACGATGAGAGTATGGATGCAGGCATTGAAGGGGAAACCAGACCAGCTTCCGGTCTCGTTTCTCGTCGCCAGGATTATATTCGTCACTCTGCAGAACACTTGGAGGCGCAAAGGATACATGAGAAGTTTCGAAATGATTATCCAACCTATGTTGGAGACTTTCCACATTTCAGAAAGCTGTGTGCAATATTGCAAGCCGTGCGAGACAAAGGAAGCTTACAGCGGTCTTTCTTGTGGGACGATTTCGTTATCAAGCACTTGGAGGAATATCCGCACTACCTAGAGCAATGTCTTTCTTTGGAGACAAAATCGCTAGGCTACGAAGATTATTTCACATCACACTTTTCTAAACCAACTCATAAAAAACGAAGTCTTACTGCAGAAGGGATCAAAGCGGTTGCAGCACAAGATAACCCTCCAAGCCTCTCTGACGCGGCGGTGAGCCCATCACGCCTTCGAAATGGCGCAGACACTTCGTTTACTACTAGTCTTGTGGATAAATTTTCGAACTTCCACACGCACTCCTTTGGACCAGCAACCCAGAGTACCCAATCCGACACGGATGTTGATAGAATGTCATTCACCATGTCGTCACCCACTCAACATACGAAGAATAACGTGTGTTCCCCTGGCGACGGTCAACATACAGAGGTCGAAGAACATACTCGGGAGACCGCCGAAGAACGTTCAGAAGCCGAGGTACAGCAACCTGAGGTAGACGAACAGGCCTTGGGGGTTGATGAACAGTTACGCTTAGAGATGAATACTCAGCTCAGCACATTGAGAAACCTAGATGGTAACGAGTCCGTCGTCGCAGAAAGCGAAATCAATAGCGAGGAAGACGAGTTTATGGATGAAACACACGAAACAGCCAGTATTGAGCTAGGGGACGAAGAATCCCCCACAGCGCTTGAGGCTCCCCTTTCAGACAATGAATCAGAAGCAGCCAATGAAGCAGAGAGTCCCAACGAGAACTGGTTTCTCTCCCTCCGACATCTCTTCCCAACAAAGCCCAGCTGGTGCGACGACCCCGATACGCCCTTTAAAAAGTGGGCTCAAGCAGACCAGAATGTCTTCTCTCAACGCAAGTTCCGTCGCGACTGGGCACGCATCCCTACAGATGAAAAGGGAGTGATTCAGCTGCCGTGCTATTCCAACCCGTCAGAATAATGTTTGTTTTGAGCAGCGAGTCCTCTCTACCTGTCATTTCTCTGGTTCTCTGAACCACCGTGCCAAACTTTACCCTTCTCTTGTTGAAAAATGTATTATGTCAATACACCTTTTGTGTTTCACTTATGATGGACTTAATGTTTTAGATAATATCTTTGTTATCAGCGTTTGCTTCTCGATGGCTAATTCGGGTGCTATGAGTGATGCAGATTCACTGGAGGTGTTGAACTGACTGTATTTATATTCTACGTTCCATGTACCACCACGAACTGATATCGAACACTTACAATGAAAGCTATGACAGGTTGTAGCTGAGCAACTACCGAATACGCTTCCTATGTATGCAATCCGAGTTTATTAAGAGTGCAAAAGCACATTAGAGAACGATGTTTCCGAGATCTGGAGACATATTTCAAAACACTACTTCTCACAGCAAGGAATAATGTCAATGTAAAGTAGAAAGTAAATTGAAGGAGGGTATCTATGTCATTGACATCAATCTATATCCGCGGTAAAATTCCAGAACAAACGAAGAAAACAGGCGAGAATTATGTATCCACCCAGTCGAATAATAAAACACAGAAGTACAATACAAATCCCAAACGGCTCATGCTGCAACTTGGCATTATGTTCATAAATGAGGATCCTCGCTGAGGTGTTTCAATAAAAGCTCAAATCGGATCATCAGATTGTCATTGGTCGAATTGTATGACCATGTTATTTTTTTGTAAAAAAACAAGAATTTCCTTTGTTGACTTGTTTTGAAATATGATTCGCTCATGTATGGTTTCGCTTAGACATGGCGGAAGGGCTCATAGGCATTTGACCGGTTCTGAGTAGGAGGAGGGGGTGGTGGGTAGGAGGTATTGTAGGGAGAGGCTTGTTGGTTGCCCTGAGGGCCGAGAGGCTCATAGGTGTAAGGGGTCTTCTCGGCCGTGACACCGCGAGGAGTGTTCTTGTGGTTGTAGGGGGAGCGACCAGAGCAGCAGCAGGTGCTGAGCATCCAGAACAGAGCAGCTCCCAAGGAGAAGGCGACAGCCAACCAGGTGGTGACATAGATGTTCTTTCCCATGCTACCGTGCATACCATAGTCCTTCAGGTTCTCGTTGAAGGCACCGGTGACGGTGGCGAACATGGCCGTAGCAGTGACGGAGGCTGCGGCAGTGAAGAGGAAAGCAACACCAGAGATAAGCGTGGTGACGCAGCTACCCCAGCGACTGCAGATAGCGAAGACACCGACGACCAATTCGACAACCGTGGCGACGAAGGCGACGATATAGGCGATGAACATCCACTTGGAGACGTTCTTGTAGAGGTTCAAAGACTTGCGCAGGCCACTGGGAAGGCCATTCTCGACGCCGGTCTCCTCCAAGTTCCAGACCTCGATGGGGTTGAACCAGAACTCTCCCTTAGGCTTCGAGCACTCCGAAACTTCGAAATCGTTGTTGGTGACGTTTCCATCACAGTAGCCCCACAGACCAATGTTGTAAAAGTCCTTGAGGTCAAACTGCTTCTGGACCTGTTCCAAGGCCGCGGAGATATCTCCATCTGAAACGGTCACACCGGCATCGGAGAGAGCCTGAGATACGGTGCTTTTGCTCGATGCGGTTGTTGTCATGTTCTGCAGATCGGCCTAAAGATATTGTCAGTCGGCGTTGCCCGATCGCAACGAGACGGGCAACATGCTTACCCGGAAGAAGTAGAGGTCATTTAATGTGCTTGAGCCAGAATTTGTGCAGCCCAGCCCGACGATGATGAGGCATACCAACGAAGCGATGGTGAGTGCATACGGCGTGATGATACACAAAACCCGACCGCCTTTACCCATGATGACGGTGTGGATGATGTAGAAGTTGTTCTCTGTGTGAATCTGACTGGATGTCGGAAGTAGGGGAGATAGAGAGATAGATGAAAGAAACCGACCGTGAGTGAAGGACGGGTGGTTAAGAGGGTAAATTGAATGAACAGATAAAATAGGATGGCAGGGAGTTTGTCAGACGGGAGAGAATCGCGTTGTTTTTAAGATGGGCTGCCCGATGATCGTCAGTATCAATCAACTTTACTTTGCTGGGGAGGCGCAGGTTAGGTTTTCTTTTTCTTTTTCTTTTTTCTTTTTACAGATCATCGGACCAATCAGGGGATCGGGCGGAGGACTACGCCACGCTCTGTTTCTATAAATTCATGCCAGGTTTCCACCGCAACTCCGGGAGTGGGTTATTTACCATACGAGTCCAACGGGACCAGTCGTATGGCGCTAAACCGGATCGGGGGCACTCGAGCCTCGTGGCGGGGTCACCGCAGCCCTACCGCCACGTCATAAGTGGCTGGAGTCCTCCGACGCAGTACGCGTCGTCGTCTTAGCATTACGAGATTTCGTAGGTAGTCGTCGACGATCTTTTGTAAACGCAGACTATACCTACCTGGTACCCTATCTGCCGCTCGTAAGTCTTTAGAATCATCCTGAGACGAGAGAACCACAATCGGAATTAAAGTTGTCAAATTGAAACTGATCTGAGGCATGGTGGACCACAACACGGCCTCCTTAGTACTACTTACTACTCGCAGTATTAAAATAACCATCCTTCTAGACTACGTAGTGGAAGGCGCAGGCAGGCTTCCCTATTTCAAGCTTGGCAGCTTGACTCGTTCCAGACGACATACGGGAAACTGAGTAGTGCTACGGAGTACTACTACTGCTCTGTACTACTAGTAGTTACTAGTAGTAGTACTTGTACTCCGTACAGCTCAAAGACCGGCTGCCTTAAGGCAGCCAACGGATTACCAGATCCGGTTAAAGCAGAAAGAATCCCTTCCCGTTCCACTGGATCCAACAAAATTCTCCCACTGGATCAATCAGGCACCTCATTTCAGCCCTCAAGGTGAAATTTGGGCGGAGAATTAATTCCATCTTTGTGTGAATTACTAGTATTCATTCACGCCATTTTTCGACCAGTACTCCGTACCATCATGGTGATCGCGCAGTCAGTCAAAGGACCGGTCAGCAGCATCTGTAGGCATGCAATAGATGCATGCAAGGACCAAGCACTTGCGAGTTCAAGCTTACGGTTAACCTTTAGGCATCTCTTTAATTGAACGACACTGCCGACATAGTGGAGCGATTCCTGAGTCCCCTTGACAAAAAAAAATCCTCATTTTTATTCAAGGCTTGGCCACCAGGTTACTGTACAGGGTTAGACTAGTACCCATCCATGCGGACCGGGGGCTGTGCTTCTTGGTCCATGCCCTACGAATCGGTGGGTCATTCCATTCATGTCAGAAGGGTTCTCGAGTCTATCGATTGAACCGTCAACAACTTGATTTACGTGTACAGGCGTACTTTGCCGTCTTCTTTTGCCGACCGTGGTTGCATTTAGAACATCCTGCAATAGAACTATCCGCAATGTGCTCAGCACCGGAATGACAAAAATGACAACCTGAGACTATCTCACACTCTGTCCTTCGCAGTGTTCCTATCCCAGGTATGCTTGCAGGACGTCCAACATTCCCGTGAACGCAACTCCGCTTGGAGGCTCCAGATTGTACATATAATCTCCCCACCATGGGCCGGCCGCCCACCAAATCGCACCTTTCCACACGTCGGTGTTCTCAGCCAGATAATCCAGCATGCCCGTCACGGCGGTTTTGCACTGGTCGTTGTTTCCACCGGCGAACTCACCGATGATACCGACCTTGTTGTTGTCCTTGAGCCACTGAGTAGCGCTGGTGACGCGCTCCTGGCCGATCGTACCAGACACACAGGCCTCGGAGGTACCTGACCCATCCGAGTCCAAATACTGGTGCATCTGGTAGACAATCTTGTCTTGGGGATCCTCCAAGCTCTTCATATTGTCGTTCACATCGGTCCAGGTCCAGGCCCCGGTCCACGAGTTACCTTCAACGAAGATATATTGCTCCGTAGCGCCAGCCTCTCGGATCCCGTCGATGGCGGCTTGGTTGAGGTTCAGAACCAGTTCTTGGTCCATGTCATGGTATTCATTGTCTGCGAGTTGGTGTTAGGATCGATGTTATCCAACTCAATGCGATCATGGGGGAAAAATCGATTGGGCCGACTTACTGGTATCGAAGATGACCAAGGAGTTGCTCTTGAACTGTCCTGCCAGGTTCTTCCAGAATGTTTGGAAGTCAGATGCAGTGGAGATGATCTCGCCATTGCTGTCATGATCAAGTTAGACGGCATTCTCATGTTTAACCTTCCCTGGTACTCTGGTTCGTAGCCTTCGAGATACTCACAATCTGCCATAGTTATGGGGGTCCAAGATAGCATGGACACCCGCATCAGTGACAGCATTGACCACCTGTAAGTATCGTCAATACCTAAGATCTTTCCCTTGGCGGATGAGCAACTTACTGTTGTCAAGTTTGTCAGGTAGGCCTCATCGTATGCCCCCGTCATCGAGTCCGGAACCAACCTCTCCATCTTGAATTGGATACGGAATATATTCATCCCCTTATCAATCAGGGTGGTAATGGCCGAGACATCCGGGAAGATATAATCTGTACCCTGTAGCAATTACACTCAGTTGGTGAACAGACATCTCATTGCGTATGGTGATCATTTGCTCGAGGCCACATACCCATACACCAGGGAGGTTGTTCTCGCCAAATTCAGCTCCCGACTCATTGGCGCCAAACCCTGTATTGCTTGTTAGCACAGCTATTTCACACTACAATCTGGGGAAAGAAGATAACACGGGGCTAACGAGCATTGGAAAACCGAATCCCTCTTTTTCTGCTCCTTAGCCAGAGGAGCAGCAACCGCAGAGCCAGCTACGGCAGCAAAGAAAAGGTTATGGAATTTCATCGTAACGAGAGCTCGGAATGAAACAAACGAGAACAAAGGAGAAGAATATCGAAGGATCGACAACAGATCAACTGTTTGTGCAACAATCCTTCATGGCCGGGGAACTGACAATATTATATATACTAAAGTTTGAGAAGTCCCCTCAATCGGCCCCGGAAGAAGTTGATAATTCACTACATCTTTGCGCTGGGGCTTCTTCCTTTTACCATGGATAGCAGGAACTGATTCGTGGAATTCATGACTTGAAACATGCCGATCCGGAACGAACATACTGGATGTCGGGGTTTCGGCCCGTAGGGAACGCAAAGCCATTGACATCTCGGTTGTTGAGAAAACAGGACCCACGTTTAATCAATTATCTGAAGAGTGGAGTGACGAGAGCAGCGACTAGATCAGCCAACGCTCATCAGAATTATCCGGGGACAAAGTTGGAAATTATGTAGGGTTCCCTTTTGCCGTCTTGGCCCTTGGATGAAACGCCACGGAGATGAAATCTTCAGGTACGCGTGACAGCGATCGACAGCCTAAGAAAGCCGATTAGTTGGATTGAGCAGATGGGGAGATGCAATAGTAACTCCAAGTCCGTGCCTTTCTGGGTATGGTCTCTTCGGGCTTGCTTGCATATTTCTAGTTATTCGTGTCCTTCGTAGCATTTAATGTCATATGCATCGTGATGATGATGCTTCCGACTTGAAACCAAAATATGCAAGGATCTATCGTATGATAGTCTAAGTCATACACGTGTAAGTGCTGTGACTCTCAATTAAACCAGATTATCAAGGTCTTGTCTCAATGCTCAGTCGAAAAGGGGATACCACTCTACGTAGCGATCCAGCGATAGACGCTCTTTCATTTACACATCCAATCAAAACTACTAAGCTTATGGTACAGTGGGCATCCCCTGAGCTACCATGCCCCCAGAGGTTGCAGGACCTCCTTCATATCCTCCGCTTGGAGCTGCTGATATTTAGCAGAAGGATGGTAGTCATTCCACCAGATACAGGAGGAACCGTCGTCATTGATGCAAGTAGCATCCGGGAAACCGTAGTCTGTGGGGCTATCAAGGATCTTTGTCATGAAAGACCAAGAATCGTAGAATGCGACAGTAACCTTTAGCAACAGGCCCAGGTTAGTCTTCATATGCTCCTAACACACCGTGACTATACTTACGTCTGTATGGTTGGTTTTGAACTCCTCCACCATTGACTCAAGATTCTTATTATAAACGGCCAAATAAGCCGCATGCTGCTCAACAGTGGCCTCGCCCTGATCAATGAACATGGGGCTTCGGCTCGTAGGAGGCACATTGAGGAAAAGGAATTTGCGACCTCCAGCACTGTAGATTCGCTCCACTAGAGAAGCAAGCCGTGCGATCAACGTCGGTGTGAATGTGTCGGCATCGGTGTTATAGAATGCATTGCCGATGCTAAGCTCAACAATGAGTACTGGGCTTGTTTTCGAAAGGGGTCACTTGAACACGGGACATACTCATTGATTCCAATCCAGAACCCGAAAACGGAATTCTCCGCCGACCAAGGCGCAGAAGCCGGCTTGTTGCTGTAGGTTTCATCGAAGATATCGACCTGGGAAGCAAGGTCCACGTCTGTGGATCCTTGAACAAGCGAATTATCAATGCTCGCACCGCCCACTGCCAGATTATAGGAGAGGACAAGGGACGCATTCTCCGCCGTTGTCAGATATCCAACCCAGTTCTCACCCCCGGTGGTGGTGCCAGTTCCTGGCCTTGCGTCAATATGTGGATGGTACCATCGGGGTACTCTTCAACACTCACCCAAGGCGGGGTTTCCCATGGGATTCGAAGGAGAGGGCTGTTCTCCAGTGGTGCTGAAACCGGTCTGCGTGTATGAATTGCCACTTACGTAAAGTTAGTGGTCTAGAATAGCCGTGAGGAGATTCTCCATACAATGTAAAGAAGTAAGTGCTTGTAGTGTTTACAGCTCTCGGCCACGGCCGCGCAGCAACCGTGGAAATGGCGCTTGCCATGAGCCAGGAGGTGAAAAACTTCATGGCGGAGATACGGTTAGTATGGTAAAGAGATACTATTCGCAAAGATCCCTAGTTGATTGGAAACAGCGGTTTTTCTTGCCGGACTGTAGGGTTTCCGTCCACGCTTTTATAGACATGCATACTCCCGGTCCAGCAAACCTAACTGATACACCCCACTGAGAACGTCACAGGGGTGCTCGATCAATAATAACTAAGGAATACATGTTTGAAGAGAGTTAGTCATTATCCATTCAGCACTACCAGGTGGAGTCCATCGGCGACTGAGACCTGCTCAGGCCCAAAGCTCCATTTACCCGGAACGTCTCTCTGGAGGTTTGGTCTTGGTTGGTGCCGGAAATAATTTCGCCGAGACGCAGCGCGTTGAAGAAAACTGTTTTCTTTACCCGGGGGGAATAGGGAGTGAAGATCGCAATTCTTGGATGCAGTTGCCAGACGTTGTTTCAACTGCCGGTGGGGTTCGGAGTCTTCGGACCCTATGCCGTTTTGGTCACGGCATATCAATCTTCATCCACCAAGATAAACGTGTTGGCTGCAGAGGTATAGCGGTGGTTCGCTGTCCATTTTTTTTTAATATGTCTTGCGTGCGGGGAAAAGGCTATTACTTTCAAGAATAGGACGATATAGGTAATATCCATCAGTTGGATGTGATTGAATTGAAAGAGCTAGCTAACTTGGTAGTAGGTACATACATAGCCCCAGAATCAGTACAAGACATAATCGAGATCCACAAAACGCAGTCACAAAAGCTTGCGCCAGGAATTAGAGTAGTAGTCACTCGCACCAAGGTGCCGCATATCGGATGTTCTTTGTGGAGGCTCTGTGTAGAACTGCCATCTCCAGTATAACTCCCGGTCCAATTGCCAACGCTATGACTTTGTCTCTTCCGTTTGCGTTATGCTCACTGCCAGTTCCCTGGTGCCTCATATAATCGAGTATGTTGAGAACAGCAGAGGAAATCGTACTGCCCCTGGACCTGTAGACGGCGTGGCTATGGGACAGATTGGACTTCCTGAGATTCAATGCTCCTTGAGCAAACTGCAAGGAAGAACGTCCTGGGAAATCTGAAGCCCAATTGTACGAGTTCGGCAAGTCATGAGTGGGGTCAGAGCGAAGGCTGGGAACTGAGTTGATGAGTGCCGTGAAATTGGAAAATAACTCAGAAGAGACGAGTCTGGGGATAAAAGCCGAAATACTCGGTTTAAACCCTTGCAGATGAGAATTTCATTAGGCAAACCGCGAGATTCAGAAAATAGAATATACGTCATTGGAGAGACTGGGTATTGCAGCCGAGGAACAGATGTACTCACCGAGAGGCTCAACGTTAAGCTCACTGTAACCCTCAGACTCATTGATTATCACGCTTCGAAACCCGAGTAAATTCCAGATGGGGGCTCTTTCAAGTACTTTGGTGCCTATCCAGTTGGTGAGCACTAACGCAGACGCACCGTCGCTGAATCGGCCCAGTCCAAATCCCACCTCCTGGTCCACGTTGATACAGTGGAGCTCTGCACGGGCAAAGAGTGTCGGCAAGTCGCACGAAACAACAAGAGCCCGCGCTGGCAGCCCCTGAAGAGCCGCCCCTGCGAGAAGATCATGGGCAATGCGCAAAGCTGAAACTCCCCCGGCGCAGCCGAGGCCATGCAACAGAGTGCGGTGGACTGTGGGACGGAGGCCAAGTGTACTACATAAGGTGATGTCAAACCCCGGGTTTGCAGTGTTAGTACATGTCACAGCTATGATATGACTTATGTCCTGCATGGAACCGCCCCATTCTGCAATGGCACTCTTTGCAGCACGAGAAACTAGTGAAATGGCGTGTTCCTTGAAGAGAGCATCGGTATCTGCGATGGAGGGTAACGCCTGCTGGAACCATATTGGATCATCCAGAGGAAGGACACTACACAAATGTCTAATACCAGATCCTTCGATGAGATCCATTGTCTTCGATACCCTAGGTAGCAAATTAGCCAGCGAGCACAGAAAGGAGAGGGTGACCATATATTAGCCTTACGCAGGAGAATGATGACAATGACGAGATAAGAGTTCCTGGAGGAAACCTCGCTGAAGGAGCGTGGAACCATATTGTGTTGCCATTCCCACCACAGAGATGGTAGGGTTTGAGAGTCCATCTTGTCTGAATACCTGGCGGCATGCTTGTTTACATACACGCCAACGTGTGATGAGCGCCATGTGTACCGCATGGTATCTCTCCTTCACACTGAGGAACTGCATCTTGATCTGAACTGGATCACAATGTGGTTAGGAGTGAGCTGAGTTTGGGAGGGAGTTCAGCACACGCTTGCAGGTCTGTGATTCTATCGCTGCGGCGACATGAATGTGTTCTCGGCATGCTCACCCTGGTTATCACCTACACTCACAAGACAGCTTTTGCTTATACACTGATGTTATCCTAGGATAGTAGGATACTTGGTTAGGAGAACTGCCTTAATATTGAAACTCTATATTCTCTGTATCCAATCCATGCAAACATCACATCGTAACTAAGGTTGCACAAGTTAAGGTAGTCGGATGCCCATCATTTCCATGCCAACACCACAAACAAGAAGCTTGGTCTCTCCAGACTCCTCGGAAATGAGACCCAGAGATGATATGTCGGCCACGGAGCTGTATCTATCGGCTATCATTTGCACTTGTATTGCGTCCGCTCCGGTCCTCTTAGCATCTACCTCGGCGCACCAGATCTTGACCCGATGGTCATTACCGGAAGTAGCAATGACGGCCTGCATTGTTCCCTTGTCCTGACATTGACGTTGCTTGAGTATCTTGCCTGTTGTGATACATGCTGCATGAGCGTCAGGGATTGTGATTGTGGTAGCATCGCCAGCTTCAGTGCCCGTGAAGTTTGTGTTCAGAAGGGAGAATGTTAGTGCGTTGTCGTCACCGGCAGCAACGACGAGAGAAAATGCATCTGATATATGAGCAAGCTCCAGGCATTTAATACTGTTCGAATGAGTCTGGTATCTGTATTCGCACGAGATGTTCTCTGGCGTAATTGGGAACGTGCCGACGGGCTTTTTCAGGTGAAGAGCCGAAGAGATAGTGTAGTACGGCTCTAAGACCGAGGTTAAGTTCCAGAATGTGAAATATCCATCTGTAGATGCCGTTAGCAAGCTCAAGGTGGAGTCGCGCAGTAGGAAGCATGCTTCGGTGAGGCAATTGCTTGTATAAGTGCCCTCAGCCAGTAGGGTGAAGTTGCCACCATCGACCGTCGAAGAATAGTGGAATATCTACTACACTTTAGCTTGGCATAGGAGAGAAATGGCCACGAATTTTTACCTTAAGCGTGGAGTTAGAATATACCAGGCAGAACAGGAAGCTGCCATCCGAGCTATTCTCATCCACCTGCAGCACATCAAAACTGGTCACTCGAAGATCAGAGAACGGATCATCCCTGACGGAGGCTACTGCATTGGTCGCAAGTCCAAACAAGGGAATCGAACGAATCTGCCAAACGATGAATTCTTCGGTCCCGCCACTGGTGAAGAGATAGTTGCCCTTCTTTGACCAGCGAATTTGCTGCAGTCCGACCCGATGCTTTTTCAGGACCCGCAGACATTTGAAGGAGCCCCACAGCTTTTCTTCGTTTGGTTCTGTCGGTGCAAATATACGCACGATGGTATCCTCCGCCCCAGTTGCAAAGAGGGGGCCATCTTCCGTGTGAGCTACATTCATAGCCTTGATCTCTCTTCCATGTCCTCCCGCACGCAAAGTACGGTTAGCATCACCCCGAGTCTGAAGAACATTGAGATTCTTTTGGATCCATATAAACACGCCGGACCCAGGTTTCTCCGGGTTGGGCTGGAAGGCCCATCTCCGGTGCGCACCACCACATAAGCGTCTGACAATTTCGGACTGTGTGGTCTCGTTCCACAAAACGAACTCTTTTCCATGGAACCCATACAGCATAAGATCCTTGGATTGTCTGTCAATGTAAGCACCCTCTATTTCAATGGTCCGAGTAGCATTGGACCGATGGATCGTCCGAACGGTAAGCAAGTTTTGTGGATCTCCCTCGGCCTCCACCTCGTGGACACAGTAGACTCCAGATCGACCGCAAGTCAAGAAATAATTCAGGGAAGGGCTGTTTTCTCCATAAAGAGATGAAAACGACGATATACAACTGATACCCTCCCGAGAGTGTATCTTACGATTCCAGATGGGTTGCTGAATAGGCATTGTGTTCGCAACGCGATATAGGACAAGGGAACCGTGCGTATTTCCTAGAGCCACATATTGGTTGCCACAAATCAAGGATGCGCAAGTTACTCCAAAACTGTGAGGAAGCGCTAAAGTTATGATCTCCATTTGCGATACCTCGCCTTCTGATAGTGATATCTTGACTAGACTCAAATGGCCTTGTTGTTGGTGGGATGAGATGAAGAACAGAGTCTCATGCGAATCAGAAGCGCCACGTTTATAATCAAGGGCAAATAGCACCAATGGCCTTGGGCCACTCTCGACAATTCTGAGCAGTGATCTGGTGTTATGATTGTATAATCGGACTAATCCTTGTGAATTGCCCAAAAGCGCAATGCCACACTGTGGCAGGGAAGCTATAGCACAATATGATGAGAGATCTTCTTCAAGGAACAGTGTTTCCTTGAGAATGATGCTTTCAGTCGAAGCCTCCGCGCTGATCCAACAGACCTGCACCTCGCCACGTGTAGTTGTTGTTAGGAAATGCTCTGGTGTAACAAAGGCGAACGCCCTAACAGATTTATCGACCCTAGATTGAGATATTCCAGGACCAGCTGAAGCAGTAATGCTGTTGTTTCTGTTCGGCAAAATAAGTGCACATTCCGCATCCACCTCTACCTTGAAACTTTTTACAGCACCATCGGCACCACCAGTATAAACCGTTGTATCCTTAGCAGTGCTGCGCATGCATAGGGACCAGATATGCTTTCCGGTATGATTATGCCAGGAAGAGATTTGGCCTAAACTAAACTTCGGCATCAGAGATGAAGATGGCTCCCAGC